ACCATAGATAGTTCTAGTGATAGCTGAAGCTGGTATCTGACCTTTATTTCCTTGATCAAACAAAAACAATTATAATTCACATGAATCAAACAAGGGTGTGTTTTTCTCTTTAAATGAGGTTATAACATTTAATATCATTCACCAGAATCATAGGGCCTTAAAATAAGTTTTACCATGAGCATATGAACAACCAAATTTTGTTCATCCTTTCAAATTTACTGCTCTATAATATTTGTAACATTTGTACAATTTTCAAAACATAACATTAGAAGAAATCAATTATCTCAATCATGGAAGCATTTCCACTAGCTTTCATTTAGGGCTTTTAACTTAATAAGTAATTAGTTCATTTGATTAGATACAAATAATTTTTGTACTGAAACAACATTAAACACTATAGGTCCCTTTTTTGCAGTGAAAGACCAGTATTAAGTACCTTGTAGTGAAATATCTTGCGAAACTCTATCAATGATCAACAATTCATTGACATTACTATCTGATGGTTCTATAATAAACTTATCAGATGTGATGTGACTGAAAGATACAAAACAAAACAAGCTTGTTATACCAAATTTAACCAGACCCTCACAATTAAAAAGATATTAAAGGGACAGATGTGCCATTTTGGGGGGTCGATTTTAGTCTTGATTATATGTAAATAGTCTTCAGAAGTGCAATAAATTTACGAAAATCTACTTCAAAATACTTCACACTATGAATTTAACTCATTATTTCTATAAGCTTAAATGTCTTTTCTATACAGTCAAGTAACCTAATTTCGTGGAAACCTATTATTCGTGGATTTCTGGAAACGATTAATAATTTACATGAGTGACCTTGCGCGACCTCCGCATTAGTTTGTTTTGATAAACATGGGTTATCTGTACAATGTCAGCTAGTAGAATGAATCCAGTAGTTTCAAGCAAGGTAAAATGTAATAATGTATACTTTGACAAATACAAAATGGCGGATTTCACTTATTAATAAACGATACCATTTTTTATCGGCCGAATTTCCTTATAATCCCAAGCTGTAATCGGAATTCAAAGTGTCGTCTGCTAGATTATATTCCAACGAATGAAGTCACGTGATCAACTAGCGGATTCCGAGTCAGCAGAAAATTTCTATGGAACACAAAGTGGACCGTATTCTTATGTTGTTTCAGTGACTTTTAGCAATAATTCACGCTACGTGTCTTATTTTGTCAGTCACTATTTTTTTTTTAAATCGTGGTTCTTTGAAGGAATTGACACTAGTTATAATGAATTGTATCCATACAACATGTTTTTCTAGACTTATTTATAGATCAAACATTGTACACGAAAATGAGTGACGCATTCTGCCGCCATTGCCTAGTTGGTTGCTCATGAAATATGGGTCAAAGTGAAGGATTCATAAAGAAAATCGAAATAAACCAATTTTAATTATTTTGTAGAATATCTGAGGAAACATGTAAGACATAAATTTTTTTTTTCGTTTTTTTAACTTTGACGAAATTCAGTGTTGAATCCTTATATCCACGAAAATAGGTTACACCACTGTATATCACAGAGTATCTTAAATTGATGACTCGTTATTTTAACATTCAAACACAGATAATTCTGGACACACATGGACTTGAAGGCTCAAATTTTGACGGTGAGCTATGAACACCATTACTGATTAGCTCAACTAAAAAATTCCAGTTTCTGAGACAAAACTATGATTGGTCAAAAAAATGGCCTTCCAGTCCCTTTAAAAATGGTGCAGAATGATGATCACTGTAAGAGCAAGTGATTTCAGTATTTTTCATTATGTGATATTAGTGAAAGAAGAAAAGACATAAGAATATCATTACTTTAGAGATCAATATGTCACTGCTGCAGTTCTGACTTGTCTGCAGTCTGCACAACTTTATGGAACTACACTGATTGAATTAAATCAAAGCTCTACCCTTCTCCACTTGCCACATGTAATAGGACAACATTATAAGAAACAGAACACTATTTCTTTCACTCACTAATTCATAAGCTTTCCTTATGATATTTTTTGTGAGTGTTGTCGTGTGATTATTTCTATATTTTGGAATTTTCCAGATAGGATCGCAATAATAAAGAGATTAAAACCACTTCAGCAAAAAAAGTCGATAGCGGAATTTACAAAGGATAAATTGAAGAGTGTTAAATCATATCCAAATCTTTAAAAACGTATTCATTATCAGAGAAAAATAATATTTAACGCCCACTTACAGCTTCAAAGCTTCGTGGACAGCCATCTTGGGTGACGTGTAAACCTTTTTGGTTTTTTCAAACTGAAGAGTAGAAAAAGGAGGCTTATGCTTCAAAGATTACTAATATTTCGTACCACAACTAACTTAATCTAGAGGTGATGGTCATACCATTCATTATAGCAATCGTTCACATATTAGATGGTATTCCAGTAGTACCTCAGAAGCATAAGAATAACAAAAATATGACTATTCAATTATTCAATTTCATAAAACTATTAGCTCTACCGTGGTTCTTTAAGGCTATATAGGTAGCCTTCCTACAGCACATTTTGTTTTAAAAGATTGGGTTTAAATTATAGAGTTATTGCCCTTTAATGGGTGGAAAGAAACTGCAATTTCACGAGAAGATATAGGTTAATAAAAATTAAATCTTTTGGGCTTATTTATCTTTTTTTTTATTTTTTATAGAAAATTGGCATAACATCTATGATGATATCATATGTATTTGCGCCTATACCTTAACTATTGCTTTTTAAATTCTACCTGGTAGTAGTAGCTAGGCCTAGTAGTAGGCCTAGGTATAAAGGCATCGTCGCCAAAATGCACCATTATCAGTAACAAAATATTGATTGTTCCAATAAGTTTCAGAGGTGTTACAGAGACGATTGTCTAAAGTTAGTTGAAGCGCTAACTCTATGAATAATTTGATGTGTACTATGTCATTCTTTATTTCCTTCTAAAATTACCAGTTGCGTGTGGGAAATAATTTGATCAGAAGATAAATACAGATCAACAAATCTATTCTTTCAACTGCTACAACTACACAAAGATTCCCATTATATTATACAATTACTCGCATGTTTGAACTCCATATGGACTTTTGCTTCTCACATTCATTTTCTTTTGGTTGATCTTCATCAATGATTCTGAGGTTGAATAACCCGAGGCAAGGCGACTTATTTGGCCCTGCATAATATATCGGTCAGAAGTACCAATTTTAAAGTAGCATCGCTTCCAGCTATATGATCCAATTTTTCTTTCGTCATGATATGTTATCAAGTAATATTATCAATTGATCCAGGTCATCAAGTAAGCATTAGGATAATTCGGTAATTATTGATCTGTTCTGACTGGCTGTTCGTAGAATAGTATGGGTTATCGCCCTTTTCCAGCTTTGGATTTTTCCATATATCACGTAACAGGTTCTCTCACCCACAAAAATTTATTTTGCTGCAACCATAGCCTACTTCTATTCCTAAACCGCTGTGTCATGGAGGCAATGTGCAATGTACAGTGTATATTCTATTGTTTCATTAAACATAGCCTAGTATTTCTGGCTTGGTTTGCTGTCAGCTAGCCGATTGTATCGGATGGATGGAGTTCCTACCATTCTGCAGCTGATTGGGTCAAGGAAATTTGGCAACGTCATGTAGTGTGCAAGGATACTTTACCTGGACAGAGGCCTTTGCCCACTCTTTCCCGGTTACAACCTAGTGAATGGAGCTTTACGTTCTACTTTTACTGATTGGGCTACGAAGGGCAACTCTATGTAGTGTGGAATGGGGTCATTGTCTCATATGCTCACTCTCGATTTCGACTACCAACTGTCGAGGATCTTAAACTTGCACCGCCTTTGGTACAAAATGATGTCTGTGATAGGCCAGAAAAGAATCCTGTAGTTTCGGACTACATGTTGCATAATACAGCATCAAAATAAATGAATTATAGTATTGCTGACACAAGGTTTGTTTTCATTTCATTTTAAGAAAAACATCTAGAAATATTTACAAGTTGATGGTTTTCTAGCATTAAACTTAATCAAGCCTTGTGTCAATATCTAAATTTCATAAAAACCTTATCTGATTAAATTTAGATTTTATCAATTGAACCATGTTTTTCTGAGAACGTAATAAAATAAAATGAAGTATTTTGAATCTTGTTGATAATCTGCGAGGTAGTGATGGGTTTTCACGTTTTTATTATACAATGGTCTATTCACGACGCCTCGCAGAATTATTTAAAGAATGCCGAGTGTTGCTCATGGGCTTCAAGAATTGATTATGATTGAAAGGAATGACAAAGTATCGAGAATGTTTACAATCCGTGAATTTCCACATCTCCCGCAATATTTTTTTTGATTAACGCACCAAAACAGTATTTGTACAGAAATTTCTAAATTTCATATTTTAAAATTAAGTACCCAATAGTTAGTCATGTTCCTTAAAGCGGCGTACAAAGCGGTACCAAAGCGTAACAAAGCTCGACTAAAGCGCCAGGGTCGTAAATAGATCGTTGGAAAGCTTTGAGCAAAGCTGGGTATTCGGCAAGAGCGCCAAAAAATTTTAAACTGTTTAAAAATTTTGGGCGCTCTGTCACGAATTGATTAAAGCGCCGAGAACGTATCAAAGCTTAACAAAGCGTAACAAAGTTCAGCAAAGCTTGACTCAAAGTGTAGGAAAGCTTAACAGAGCTTTATTCAAAGCGGGGACCCCAGTTTTCACGGTCTGTCACCACTTGATCAAAAGCGGCATGAAATCGGCCATTTCGAAATTTTCCAATGCGTAACAAAGCTTAACAATGCATAACAGAGCTTGATAATCGTATCAGAGCGTGATTTAAAGCGTCATAACCGCATCAAAGCTTAATAAAGCGTGATTTAAAGCGTAACAAGGCCTGATCAAATCGGGAAATAATTTGTCCTCAAAGCCTAACCAATTCGTATCAGAGCTTATCAGAGCGTAACATTACTTAGGATATCATGATATTTTTTGAAAAGTAAACAAAAAATGATGGCGCTTTGCTCGCCGATTTTAAGCGCGGCATTCGCCGTTGGTGTGAACTACGCATTAGTAACAGTATCATATTATCCACATCTATTGATAATATACTACTAGGAACATGATATTTAGTAGACAGTCATTTTTTTAAGTTTTGTAGATTGTTTGCACACTGAGAGCATCAATTAACCATTTCAATTTTCAATCAGACGTCTGTAGTTCCTGCGATTCGTTTATTACGTCATTAATCGCAAAATATGCTTGTATCACTTAAAGCCCTTAGCGATTAGTGACGCCACAAAACACTTAGTTTTTATGGAACTGCAGAAATGTTGCAAATTGATGCTATTACTGTCCCAGTTACAAGAATCAAATTTCCATGAAAGAACAATACGCAGATGCTTGGTGAGTTGGTGTGGTCAGAATATTCTATTCACTTCCGGTCCCTAACACTTCCACAAAATTGTAAGGCGAAGGTTTCCAATTCATGATAAGGGTTTAAGTATGTGTTCCTCTATAGAATCACACGCGAACTTTGACCTCTTATAATATTTAATGTCAAGTCTGTTATAAAGGTTTCTGACATTTCTACTTGTTGGCTTATTTTGCACTAAAGACATATAAGATGGTTTTCATTTATGATCATTTCCTACGACAGGGGTGTCATAATCTAGTTTCTTGGATAATTCTGCCAGATTATCCTATCGGTTAGCCTTTTCATAATACCCTTTAATAATTCCAAAGTTCATTTTAACCCACATTTTTAAACTGAGAACTCCTATAAAACGATTATCGCAAACCGAATCGAAGTCCCAGGCGTTTGTCAATACAATTGAGAAATAAGAACAACGTAAACACAATAGATGTACTTGAATTACCTTTAAATATTTTATTGAATATTACGCAAAGTGACATTTAAATTGCAACTGTTATAAACAAGAATAAAATAACTACCATTTTAAAGGAAAGTTGCAAATTGTTGAGCTGTTAGAGCGCAATGTAAAGGCCTATTATAGCTACCCAAATTTCATGATAGAAATTGACTTTTATCTATGAATTAGAAAAATTGTCGTTCCACCAAATAGAGCCATTGTAGTCTTCGCAGTAAGATCTGATGTAGGTAATATTTGAATAAATGTCCTTACTCATGTGCAAGATATACTCAATTTTTAACTTATGCTATCAAGGCAATCACCAGCACAGGAGTGACAAAGTACAAGGTTAATTCTCGCTTCACACAAATTGAAATTCCATATTCGGAATTATGCTCCAGACCATAAAAACTGAAATAATATTTGATTTTTATTTTCCTTTAAAATAACCCTTTTCACTATAATTCATTAAAATTTGATAACTTTGAAAGAACATTAAACTGAATGATTTATTTGTATTAAGCTGTATAAACATCTAACAGTATGTGTTGATAAAGGTCTTGATAAAGATTACATTGACTTTTCAAGCTCTTTTACTCCATTAGAAAAAACGATTCCCTAAAAACATTGTTAACTACAAAGTAGCCTTTTGTTGCAATTTTTTGAAAATGTCAATCAATAATACTGAAAACTGAAAGACGAAAAGGAACTCTTTTTTAAGTGTTGAAAACAATTGTTATCGATTCCTCCAGCAGAACGAAAATAGACATCAAGTTGAATGTCCATATATTGAATCAATTTAAAAACATACGTGATGACGTTCTGTTTACTCTTTAAATATGTCTACATTATTTTGGGAAGGGCGAAGGGCGAGTAGCAGCATCCTGTATTCTGTATTCTCAGACTAATTGGAATTATCAACGCTTACGCCATCGTATTAACGTCCGTCATCCAAAGGTCTTATCTATTTGGAACACACTGGTACTATGTTACTACCCAGATAATTTGGATGTGTTCAATGCCAAGAACCTGGCGTATTCCACAACAATATAAATAATATATTGACGAAATTGGGAATGTGAATAGCAATGAAAACAATAGTAGAAGTAGTAAATGAAGATAAGCTTTGTCATGTTTTTCTGTATTTAAAAGCAAGACGCTGTGTACCCATCCTACATTACAGATGTTTTTAGGAAACATTATATAAGGGACCGAGCAAAAAATTTCTCAGGGAGTCACAAACAATCCCTTCACTATGTAAAATGTTTCAAAATTTGAAAGATGTGTAAAACAATAAAAATAGGCCTACTATTTTACTATCTTGATAAATGCGCGTTTCATAACGACAACGATCTTACATTCCACCTTCAGGTGAGAGAGTACCGCGCGAACTAACCGATCTATATTGGTCCTCTAAGTCAACAAGACACCTAACACATGTACGTATACTGCTATTGGATATACAATTTTGAAATGAGAATCTTAGATGACGAGTCCAAGATGACAGATATTTAAATGACTACTGTTAAGTTTCTTATTCGATGTTTGTCTTAACCTCGCAGATCGATGAAACGGTTGAAACCTCAATTGTAGCATTCTTGATAACTGTACGTATTAAATCTGTCGTGACAAGACTTCAGCATTTAATCGCCGTGTGCTTTGCCTGGTTTCAGTAACTCACTTTGAAGTTGATATTCAGACTATATTAAAGTTGTTAAAATAGATCAGAGTAAAGTATTTTAGAATGGTCTGTATTTTATTTAATAGTTAGACTGATTGCCAGGAATCTAAATATTAGAAAAGTTTAAAATGGAAGATATGTTAACAGCGAGTGATAGGTCTTTACCTCGGGGTCCGAGTCCTACAAAACAGTTTGCGGCACTTCAGATCAGCCCTAAACCGTCCAAAAGGGCAACTTCGTTAAAAAAGCCAAGGAAGAAGCTTCTGGAGAATGTGGAACTCAGTGAAATTCGACCCCGTACCAGCAGTTTGCCTTCAAGAAATTGCTTCCAGAAATCCAGACCGCAGTACCTTTCTCCATTTATAGACAATATCTCGGAATCGGAATGCTATACCATGAGGACATTTGTAACAACCAGAAAGGGTCTGGTGAACCGAGGTGACTCAGTGAGATCCCGTAGTACCAATAGTATTGCCTCCTCTGGTAGTGGTAGCATGACCGAACTGACTCCCCTGTCTGGTACCTCTAGTTCCCTGTCAGCAAGTGCCAACTCTCTCGTACCAGCCTATGTTTTAAGAGTTTTGGTAATCGGGGCTCCAGGTGTGGGTAAAACATCGTTAAAGAGACAGTTTATGACATCGGAGTATATCGGAGTTTCTGACAGTATCGGTGAGTACCTTTTCGCTTCATTAAAAGCTTTTTGAATTAAGCCTACTACAGCTCTTCTTATAGTACCGGTACAGATTTATCCACATTTAGAATTACAGATCTAAATTTATTCACTTGATTAAAAACCTGTTTACTCTTGTTTCTTATAGTTTTTCTTTTGATAAAACTCCCCCTAGCTTGGTTTTGAAATATTTATTTTAACTAATCGTAAAAATGAGTGATTTAGTTGTTTAATGTTTAAAAAAAAAGTTCGAATCAATATAATTGTCACTAAGTTTCCGACAGCGGCGGAGCTAGGTTTACGTCTGAGAGGGAGCGGGATATCTGAGATAACCTTGTTATGAAATTTTTGCCCGAAAAACTTGCAGGGGGGGGGGGGGGGGGGGGC